CATAAAAACAGATACTAAAATAGCTTACTAAACCTAAGTAACATCTATTCCTAATAGAGATTAATATCTTGAATAAAAAGACATCTGATTCTAAAAACCTAGAAGATAAGGGCCTACTTTTTTTGAGCGCCACCTCCTGCCTTAGAACTACAGGCATGAGTCACCATGCCTGGTTAAGAGAAGTGTCTTTAAAGTGAGGTACATACCTGTCTCATCCCACCTTTTCTCTTTACGGCCAACTGGAAAATGGACATGATGTATGGAACGCAAGTTGCTTTACTGCACCTTGAGGTGAGAGTCTTACGCCAGCAATGTTAAGAAAGCTGCAAAGACCTTAGGCCATTGACCACTTTATGGAACTGTCGTGCCTACTCTTTTCTAACCAATTTCATACTTACATGAAAGAAATAAATCTCATGTGTTTAAATCACTGTCAAGTTGGGCTTTTTGCTGCTTGAGCTCAACCTAATCCAAAAAGTTATATCACACAGACTTCTTTTGATTTTCAGATTCCAAAGTGTTCTGTCTATAACTGTCTCTCCTGCTCTCTTTATCCTTATGCATTGATTTACCAAAACAAAATAAAAAGTACTGCTTTTTGCCATTTTAATGGACTTTCAGGAGAAAGTGGCCATAAATGTAAGTGTTCAGAGGACTATCTTTAATCAGAAGTCTGCTCTCATAAGATTGTTGAGAAAATTAAATAGTATAACAAACAGAGAGTTTTTAGTATAATGCCTAGCTCAGGGCAGGCACTTAATAAGTGACAGTAATTATGATGGTGCTTTTATTATCATTATTACCTTTGCTATTATTTCAAACGTGTCATCTGGCACTCATTTCTACAAGTCACGCTAACATGCAATTTGAAAGGAAAAAAAAAGACTCATGGCATATATATAGTTTGTAGCTGCACTAATCTAAATCAGCATACATTTATTGATTTTTTTTTTCATAAATCAAGAGAACATTTTTCACTGACTAGGGATTTAAACAGCCTGATTTAGCTCCTCTAGACAACAAATTATGTTTTGTAGACCAGGCAGAAATTGAATTGTATGCAAAAAGTCATTCTGCTGCCCTCTCATTTCGTCATGGGCTAGGTACTTGGAAGCTTGATTGAATTCTCACAATAAAGGTCAGAGAGGTATTAGGTCTACTGCTCGCTGCTAAGAGAAGTGTCTTTAAAGTGAGGTGCTTAGCTATTTACAGTGGGTGCTTGGGTAAGAATCTTAATGCTCCAACCTCCTTTTCTTCAGCTGCAAACATGAGGATAAATTTATGTCCTTACTTTGTTCTCCTAATCTTTTTATTTTTGCCCTTTCCTTAGTCCCTGATGCTTGCTTGCTTATTTATTTATTTATTTATTTATTTATTTATTTATTTATTTATTTTTGAGTGGAGTCTTACTCTGTTACCAGGCTGGAGTGCAGTGGTGCGATCTAGGCTCCCTGCAACCTCCGCCTCCTGGGTTCAAGCAATTCTCCCGCCTCAGCCTCCCGGGTAGGTGGGATTACAGGCACCCGCCATCACACCCAGCTAATTTTTTTATTTTTAGCAGAGACAGGGTTTCATCATCTTGGCCAGGATGGTCTTGATCTCTTGTCTTCCTGATCCACCCGCCTCAGCCTCCCAAAGTTTTGGAATTACAGGCGTGAGCCTGGCCATCCCTTATGCTTTCTACATCTCTAATGATTGCTAAAAATAGCTCTACAATCCACCTGGAGTGTACAGTATAAGTGGATGCTTAACACCTGTGTGCAAATCCAGGTCTGCCGTTAGCTGAGTAACCTCTTTATACCTCCATTTCCCCATCAGGAAAATGTGGGTAATGTTAATGTCTGCCTTTTGGGAATGTGGTAAAGATTACATGAGATAACGCTTGCAAAGTGCTTAGAACAGAGACTGCTACATAGTAAACAGAAAATAACCCCGAGAACAATTAATAGTATATTGCAAGCACTGTGCTAAATTATTTAATTATTTGATTACCACAGAAACTCTGTGAGGTCAATGCTATTATTTTCCCTATTTTACCAATGAGGAAACGAAGGTAGGGAAAGGTTAGGTAACTTTGCTAATTCAACACAGATTATTGGTGATGAAACCTGGCTTTGAACCTGGCTTTGGCTGTCTGCCTCAACGGTCATTGTTTTATCCATTCCATAGCACCTGTTTGAATCAGCTTTGGTGCTACTGATAGATCATGATAAACTTTCTGCAGTTTTCTGCATCAATTGAAAATGATACAAAAATTTGAGTTAGATACAAGGAGTTCCAAGAGATCTATTGTACAGAATGGTGACTATAGTTAATAACAATGTATAGTATTCTCAAAAACTGCAGAAAATAGATTTAAAGTGTTCTCGCTACAAATAATAAGTATATGAAGTAATGCATATGTTAATTAGCTTGATTTAACCCTTCCACAATGTATACATATATCAAAACAACATGCTATATTTGATACATATATACAATTTTTATTCATCAATTTAAAAAAGTAAACATGCTGAATGCAGCGGCCCACATTTGTAACTGCAGCACCTTAAAGACCAAAGCAGGGGGACCACTTGAGCTCAGGAGTTCAAGACCAGCTTGGGCAATATACCGAGACCCCAGTCTTTGCAAAAAAAAAAAAAAAAGAAAGAAAGAATAAATTAAAAAGTAAAAGTAAATATGAGCCTGTCTGGAAGTAGAAAAATAAATAACTAAATAAAACTATTCAGAAATTATTTTGCTCATGTTCTGTGCCAAGTACAGAAAAACCTCTACAGAGGTAAAGAGATGGAAAATAATAGCCAGTATCACTCAGCTCTTACTACGTGCCCATTCAGTAATAAGCACTTCATGTATATTAACTCATTGAATCTCACAATGACCCTACGAGGAATATACTATTAATATTCCCATCATTAGCCAGGTGCAGTGGCTCACGTCTATAATCCCAGCACTTTGGGAGGCCTAGACAGGTGGATCACGAGGTCAGGAGATGGAGACCATCCTGGCTAACATGGTGAAACTCCGTCTCTACTAAAAATACAGAAAATTAGCTGGGCGTGGTGCCCAGCATAAAAATAGATATTAAAATAGCTTAATTTAAATTTAATTTATTTTATTCGTGGTTCCGTATATTCAGTTTCCTGAAGCCTCCTCAGAAGCTGAACAGATGCCAGCATCATGCTTCCTGTAAAGCCTGTGGAACGATGAGCCTGCAGTCCCAACTACTTGGGAGGCTGAGTCAGGGGAATGGCTTGAACCTGAGAGGCGGAGGTTGCAGTGAGCCAAGATTGTGCCATTGCACTCCGGCCTGGGCAACAGAGCGACACTCCGTCTCAAAAAAAAAAAAAAAAAATAATTCCGTATCATACAGTTGAGGAAACAGAGGCAGAGAGAGGTTTAGTATTAAGGAGTAGCAAGTGGCAGAGATCATTATGTCCTACTGCCTCTGAAGACTCTGCCCTTAAAGAATTTTTATTCCACCCAGGAAGACAGACAGAGTCTTGAGCCTGCTTGTCTAACATATGTCTCTGCTCCCATCATCTCCTCCACCCACTCCCATGCTAAGGTGCACATTCTAGTCAACTATTCAGGAGCGACTCTAGACAACTAGGTGCGCATTCTACACAGGTATTTGGAAGCTGCCCGGTACAGTGGTTCACCTGCATTGAAGTTGAGCACGTGGGTGACTTACCTCTCCACAATCACTGCCTTGCCTTTGCCCTGGATATAGGTGGCAGTGGCTGGTCTGTGGGAAAGCAAGATCTCAAAGAGCCTGCCCCTGAGCTGCACTGCACACAAGCACTGCTGTGTCCCTTGCTGGGGGTCTATGTCCATCTTGTATGTGTGGAAGGCTTGGTGGAAGATGGTCTTCATTACCTATGAGGAGAAAGCAAGAGAGTTGAGAACCTGGCTCTCTGCTTCAGGAACTCCATCATGCAGACTGACAAAAATATTTTCTCAGCATGATTTTAACAAGAACTCAGGAAGCTAACTACATTTCTTACAATTGGTGGTGGAAGGTGGAAGTAATGATTAAACAGTTATTTAAAATTTTGTTTGCAAAGGACTAATAATTTAAAAATGCATATGGTGCAATCTTTTTTTTTTCTTTTGATACGAAGTCTCGCTCTGTTGCCCATGCTGGAGTGCAGTGGTGCCATCTCGGCTCACCGCAATCTCCGCCTCCCCAGTTCAAGCGATTCTCCTGCCTCAGCCTCCAGAGTAGCTGGGATTATAGGTGTCTGCCACCACGCCTAGCTAATCTTTGTATTTTTAGTAGAGATGGGATTTCATCATGTTGTCAAGTCTGATCTTGAACTTCTGACCCCAAGTGATCCATTCACCTCAGCCTCCCAAAGTGCTGGGATTACAGGCATGAGCCACCATGCCCAGCCTATACCTGGATTCTTAATCTGAGATTTGGGGAGAAAAATTACAATTCCATTTTGATTAACCTCAAACTGAAATGTAGCACTTTCTTCCATTGTGGCACCTATGACTTTGTCAGCAGTAAAAGTCATGGATATCTTTAAATGACATTACAGTTGTTGCAGAAATCGCAAAGTATTGTTTATCCTCATTGTTTCCTGAAATTACGTAAGCTATTAGACTTGCTTCTAGATCTTGTTTCATGAATTATTAAAGAAGCGCATGTATTCTGTATAATAAATTTTGAAAACATCTTGATAATGGTATTTAATTCTACAAATTTTTTGTCATCCATATATTTTATTTTATGCATTTAAACATATAATCCTGAGAAGGGGTCTATAGGATTTATCAGACTGCCAAAGTGCAACATGATGCAAAAGAGGTTGACATTTTACACACATTTTATGTAAACAAAATTAAGTTTGTTTCTGACTGTCTTTCCTACAAAAGCACAATCCTATGAAGTACGTGCTGCTGTTTCTACTATCATTATAGAGATGAGTTGAGACACAGAGAGGTTAAGTAACTTTCCAGAGATCACACAGTAAGTAGCAGGACTTGCCTTTGAAACCAGGCCCCAACTCTTTTTTTTTCCCCCTGTGCAGGGGAACATGCTAATCTTCTCTGTATCATTTCAATTTTAGTTTATGTGCTGCCAAAGCGAGCACAAGGCCCTAAGTATTAATCATCATGTTCAGCTGCCTCTTCCAATGTGGTCCTTGCCCTTAAAAAATTTATAATCTGTGTTTTTGGGTTGGTGAAGCAGGGTATCACACTGTCACACAGGTTGGAGTGCAGTGTCTACTGCAGCCTTGACCTCCCAGGCTTGAGCGATCCTCCCACCTCAGCCTCCTGAGTAGCTGGGATTACAGGTATATACCACCACACTCAACTAATTTTTTTATTTTGGAGAGACAGGGTCTCGCTTTCTTGACCAGACTGGTCTCAAACTCCTGGGCTCAAGTGATCCTCCTGCCTCAGCCACCCAAAGTGCTGAGATGAGCAGCATGAGCCACCACGCCTGTGTGAAACATTTATAATCTGCTGAAGAAGACAGATTTGTTCTATCTGCCTCACTGCCTCCCGCACACAATTACACTTCCTTTCCTACTCCCATCCCCAGAGAGGTTTCTGAATTTGTTATCCCATTATATAAAAAGTAAAGATAGTTAGATTTTTATTAAATTCAGATAATACAGTCAGAACAACTTAATCTAGCTAAGACTGTTTTTGGCAGACCTTAGATGAAGAAGTCACCTAAGTTTTCTTACATATGGATTAACTGGACACAGAATTTTAAAGATTTTGTGAATTAGCTGGGGGATGTGCTGCACATGTCCATTAAATGTTTGAGGTGATTGATCTGAGAAATTGGCTCTTGTAGACACAGATAGACATTATTCCAGGAAAGAAAAAAGTCACCCACACCCAATTAAGAATACATCTCTGTTATATCTGCGGGAGGTAAAATAAAAGAAAAAAAAATGAATTTAGGGGTAACCTAAAAATGTATTCTACAAGGGATACTGGCCTCAGAGTCTTTAGGAAGTAACAGGCTCCTCTGTTGGCAAATGACAGGGAGTTTTGAGATGAAGGGCTTCTGCTGGTCAACTAAGATTCACACTAGTGCAGACTCTCTGCAATACCTGACTCATTGCAAACAGAGCCCTGAATTTCTCTGGCAGCAAAGTGACCTGATGTGGTTTGGATCTGTGTCCCCACCCAAATCTCATATTGAATGTAATCCCCAATGTTGGAGGTGGGACCTGCTGGGAGGTGATTGGATCATGGGGATGGATCCTTCACGAATGGTTTAGCATCATCTCCTGGTGCTGTTCTCATGACAGTGAGTAAGTTCTCGCAAGATCTGCTTGTTTAAAAGTGTGTAGAAATCGCCCCGCCCCATCCTTGCTCTTCCTCTGGCCGTATGAAGTGCCCACGCTACCTTTGCCTTCTGCCATGATCATAAGTTTCCTGAAGTCTCCCTAGAAGCTGAACAGATGCCAGCATCATGCTTCTGGTAAAGCCTGTGGAACTATGAGTCAATGAAACCTCTTTGCTTTATAAATTACCCAGTCTCAGGTATTTCTTTATAGCAGTATGAGAATGCACTAATGTGTGCCCTGCCATAGGAATTAATTCACCATTAGTCCAACTCATTCAAGGCAACCCATTCCTCCTGGTCATAGTCAAGACCTGAGCCTCATCCCCCAAGGCTCAACACAAATACAGGTTCCCCCGAAAGCCTTCACAGGCTCTCCAGCACCTTATCAATGGTTTATTTAGTATCCTATATGTCTCCTTATAGCATTTATCTTTATTTTAGTTGAATAAATCATTTTAAGTGCATTAGTCATTTAATGTCTGTTTCACCCAATAAAATGTTAGTGACATTAGACGGGGACCCATGTCTTAGTAATCACTGTAATCCCCAGTACCTAGTAAAGTGCCTGGCAAATAATAGGTGCTCAATGAATACTTGCTGAGTGAACGACTGCTTTCTGAAGAGAACTTTGAAATCATGCAGATACTCTATCACCTGGCATGTTCTGCTCTGAGATGCAGGTTAGCAAGCTACAACTAGAAGTGGCTTACACAGTTAGGACAAAAGTATTTCTTAAACTCAGAACTCCTGACTTAGAGTGGTTTCCGGGCTGGTTAATTCCAGAACCCAGGCTCTTTTCTTTTTTATACACAGGGCCTTGCTCTGTCATTCAGGCTGGACTACCATGGCATGATCATTGTTCACCGCAACCTCAAACTCCTAGGCTCAAGTGATCCTCCCGCCTCAGCCTCCCACGTAGCTGGGATGACAGGCGTGCAGCACCCATGCCTGGTTAATCCAGGCTCTTTTAATCTTTTTTTTTTTTGAGATGGAGTCTTGCTCTGTTGCCCGGGCTGGAGTGCAGAGGCAGGATCTCAGCTCACTGCAAGCTCCACCTCCCAGGTTCACGCCATTCTCCTGCCTCAGCCTCCTGTGTAACTGGGACTGCAGGCGCCCGCCACCTCACCCAGCTAGTCTTTTGTATTTTTTTAGTAGAGACGGGGTTTCACCGTGTTAGCCAGGATAGTCTCCATCTCCTGACCTCGTGATCCACCCATCTCTGCCTCCCAAAGTTCTGGGATTACAGGCTTGAGCCACCGCGCCCAGCTGTAATCTTTTCATTCTGCTATTCTCTTCAGGGCATCAGCTGGCTCCATTCATGGGTCGGATATACTGGCCTTGGAAAAGGTGAGAAGATTATATCTAGGAGTAGAAAAACATTCCTTCCTTGTACCCTTGTTCAAGAATGAAGGAAATTTCCCAGTACACCCCTCATTGGCCAGAATTTTGCAACACATCCATTCTTGATCATTGGCAAGTGATGGCATCCTGATGATCACTTTAGACTAAACCAGACTCAGCCTTGAGTCCAGGAAGGGGCCCAGTTTTACCGCTGTCCTGGCCCAAGAATGCAGTAATGACTGTGTTGGCACAAAAGATGCTGGGTGTGTGTGCATGTGTGTGCCGGTGTGTGTGCTGATGCTGGGGTGAGGAGGGGAGTTTTATAAGCACCCAAGAATGCCTGCCATCCACCTTCACTCTGCATCAATAGGCTAGTAACGTGTAGAAACTCATTAGAAGAAATATTGGCATCCAAATACTGTGTGTAGCCATGGAAGAAATGTGCAATTTGCCTTAAAAATATTCCTGTTTTTCAGGGTCACTCAGATGGCAATGGAGTGCTGATTAAATCCACTGAAGTCAATAATTCACTGCAGATAAAAAGTAAAAAAAAGGGTCCTCATAGTTACTTACTTTCATTGTAATTCATATATTAATGGCCTTATTTTCAGAAGTTTAAAAGAAGTCAGATTACACAGATTTAGTGACTAATATAAAAACCAAAAGAAGGTGAACATTGCAAGATACCAAGTCAAAATACTTACCATATAACAATAATAGCAGTAAGTAACATCACGTATTTAGTGTTTATTTTGTGGTTTAGTTCCAGGCACTGTTAGTGGTATACCGGCATTATTTTACCTGATCACAAATATAAGGAATTCACAGGCTGCCTTGATGGTTTTAAAAATCTTTTCATAGAGCCATTGGAATATTTATATTCAATAGGCAAAAAGAGAGAAATAAGTAATATATAGTACTATCATATAACAATAACACAATAAGTATAATACATGAAGCCAATTGAAAGAACTAGGCTGGGCGTAGTGGCTCATGCCTGTAATCCCAGCACTTTGGGAAGCCGAGGCAGGCACATCGTCTGAGGTCAGGAGTTGGAAACCAGCCTGGCCAACATGGTAAAACCCTATCTCTACTAAAAATACAAAAATTAGCTGGGCATGGTGGCGGGTGCCTGTATTCCCAGCTACTTGGGAGGCTGAGACACGAGAATCGCTTGAACCCAAGAGGTGGAGGTTGCAGTGAGCTGAGATCGTGCCATTGTGCTCCAGCCTGGGTGACAGAATGAGATTCCTTCTCAAAACAAAAAAAAGAAAAGAAAAAGAAAGAATGACCTAGATTGGGCATGGAGTTTCATGCCTGTCACCCCTGTAATCCAGCACTTTGGGAGGCCAAGGTGGGTGGATCTCTTGAGTCTGAGAGTTTGAGACCAGCCTGGGCAACATGACAAATACCCATCTCTACAAAAGCTATAAAAATTATTCAGGCATGGTAGATCCCACCTATAGTCTAAGCTACTTGAGAGGCTGAGATGGGAGGATCACTTGAGTCCAGGAGGCAGAGGTTACAGTGAGTCCTGATTGTGCCACTGCGCTCTAGCCTGGCTGACAGAGTGAGTCTCTGTCTTAAAAAGAAAAAAGAACTTTTTTTTTCATTATTGATTTAGGAAAGTCAGGGCATTAAGACATGTGAAAACCTTAGATGGCGCTAAAAAGTGAACATTTTTTGTTTATTTTGTTTTTTTGTGTGTGTTTGTTTTTGAGACAGAGTTTTGCTCTTGTCGCCTAGGCTGGAATGCAATGGCACGATCTTGGCTCACTGCAACCTCTGCCTCCCGGATTCAAGTGATTTTCCTGCCTCAGCCTCCTGAGTAGCTGGTACTACAGGTGCCCGCCACCATGCCTGGCTAATTTTTGTGTTTTTCGTAGAGATGGAGTTTCACCATGTTGGCCAGGCTGGTCTCAAACTCCTGACCTCGGTGATCCACCCGCCTCAGCCTCCCAAAGCGCTGGGATTACAGGTGTGAGCCACCGTGCTGCGCTTAGAAGTGCCAATTGTTATTTAGAGTGAGGCAATGGTCAGCAGCCTAAGGTAACCGTTTGACCAGTTAGTGTCTTTTTCCAGGTCACATCCCTGGCCCTGCCCTGCCTCTGGGGTAAGACTGCCCCTCCAGCACTACGCAGTGCTGCAGCCCATGGGAGGCCAGTCCTCTCCAAACTTCCCTGTTGGGAAATGGCACCACCGTACTCCCAGCTACCAAAGCCACACACCCTGCAGGCAAGCTTGACCCTGCTGATTCTGTCCCAAAATGCCTTTTGAATCTAAAGTGTCCAGTCTCTCCATTCCTTCCACCTCATCTCTAGTCCAAGCCCCCCATCCAAGCCCTCACCCTCAGATGCCTGTTAAACATACACAGAGAGAGAGAGAGAGAAAGAGACAAGGACTGAGAGAGAGAGAGAAAGAGAGATTGAGAGAGACTGAGTG